TCTTTGTCCCGAGTATGATGTTGTTCGTGCTTCTTTCTTTCTTACATCGTCGTCCCCTGCCTACTCTTGACACTACTATTCACGAGACCACTCTTTGAGGAGACTCGTCATTTCAATTAAACCACATTGGGTCAATTTGAAAATTCAAAAAAGTTTAATTATATTTGAATTTAATCCATGGTCAAATCTGTAATTTACATAAAATATATAAAAACACATTACTTTAAATATATTTTGTATGACATATATATGTTATTATAAACCAAAAAATAATATAAAATATTAAGATATTATTATTATTAGTATATAAATAATAATTTATTTCAATTAATTAAGTTAATTCGGTTAACAAATGAATAAAAAAAATCTCGCACTACATATTTCATGGTATTACCAAAAAAAGATGCACATTAGTGAAAGCCAGACTGCACAATATAGTTAGTTGCTACCAAAAAAAATTCTCTCTCTAAAAATTGGAAAATCCCCAATCTTCATCGGCCGTGACCTAGACTCCGTCTTCTTGAGATGAGCCTCCCCTCCGGCGGACACAGTTAAAGCGCGATTGGCCAGCATCGGACTCGGACCAGGTTCGGCGGCACGGGCTGGGTTGTCGCTCGCCTCTTCCTCCCCGTCATGGTTCCGCTCTTGTTCCGAAGCACCATGGCGGGCTCAAGGCGGGATCTCCAGTTGCGGTGGCCGACGGGTACTGCGAGCGTCCACGGAGGCTTGTGGTGGTGGTCCGGCCTTGGTCTGCTCCTCTCCCGATCTCCTCTGGTGTTGGGTAGGTCGGGACCTCTGGCGGCGGTGGCAGGTTGTACATCGACCCCGGAGTATGCGGGGAGGCTGTGGTAGTGGACTGACCTGGCTTGAGTTGCGAGTCCGGGAGGAGGCTTCAGATGGGGACCGGTGTGGCCGTGGGGCTCCCTCCAGGAAGGTCGCGTCTCGATGTATGGTTAGGTCGTGTTGGTGCTGTGTTGAGTGTCCGGTGGGGAGGGCGTCGTTTTTCTCTCGTATTAGCCTTGTTGTTGTTTGTTTGTGTTTTAGTTTTTGTTGTTTGTTTATGTTTGTTGTGTGTTGAGTTGTGACTGTTTGTGGTAGGTTAGTATCTTTTGGTTCTCCCGGTTGGGAGCTTCTCCTCTTGTGGGAGTTTTCCTCTCCCCTTGTGGGAGTTTCTCTCTCCCCTTGTGGGAGTCCCTTCTCCTCCGGTGGGAGTTTGGTGTGTTCTTGTGTTGTGTTTTGTTGTTGTGTAGGTAGGTTCTAGACTACACTTTGTGTAGATCTCCCTCCTAGTTTCAGCTAATTGGCTGGTTTCTCAGCGGATTCGCTGTTTCTAGTTTGTATCCGTGTGTTTTATCAATAAAATCTATCGTTTGGAGAAAAAAAAAAAGACTGCACAATATTGTCAGATCAAATGCACAATAGTCTGAAAATGCACATTAGAATATAACAAAAACATAATAATAATAATAACATAATGGACCAAATTATATATATATATATATATTAATTATTTTCAACAAGCAATAATATAGAATATTAAATAAAAATTATAAATACTAAAATATTTTTTTTATTATATAAATAATTTGATAAGTGCATAATCATATTAATTGAAAATACGCATTATTAAATTTATATGAAATTATAATGCATTAAAAAATACACGCACAATATGCTGCACAATAATGTTAGACTAAATGTATGTTATTGTATGTGTGAATGCATAACATCAATTTCAAGATTTCATATATTATATTTTTTTTAATTAAAAATATTATAAAACTGTTAAATTAGATTATTATAATACTAAATATAATATTAATATAAATAATAAATTAGTTTGATTGTTTAAAGTTATTCGGTTAACCGGTCGAATACACTATATAATTCTATTTAGTTTTAATCTACGTTGAGATAAAATGTTTGGTCATATTAGAATGCACAATAGCGATCGAGACAGTGCACAACCGTGTTAAACAAGTTGCACATTAATGTTTATCAGACTGCACACTAGTGACGGAAAACGATCAAACTAATACTTTTCGGTTCGAATTTTTATATTTAAATTTAATTATATGTTTTTTACCTTTAAAATTTTAAATATTTCGATTCTATGTCAACATTATTAATTAAAATGACGGAGACAACCAAACCGACCGAACGATAAGCGGTGCAAAATATATAGTTTAATAAAATTACAATGTGAATATGAATGTGCATTTTAACCCACAATATTGTACATTTTTTGTATCATCAATGTGCACTTGTTAAACTTTTGATAAATTACAATAATTCTACCCATATTAAAAATACAAANTGAATTCTCAAAATCAGCCCCTAAACCAGAAACATAAATCCCGTCAGCTTTCCCCGACCGCGTCCTCCGCCAGCCACCCGCCGCCATCCGCCCTTTGTCCGATTGCACCTTCTCTCGCTATAACTACGTCCTCCTATAAAAAATCCCCACATTCCTCTGTAACTAACTAAAAAAAAAATCACAATTCTCAACGGCGACGAATGGTGGCGATGGACGATGTCTGTTGGCTGTAGGTGGTGTTAGAGTGGCGGCATGTTCTCCAACAAGATATTTCTGGTAGCACATGGTCTAGCGGCCGCGAAGGCGACAATGCTGGCGAAGTCAACCTCATCAAGATCCGAATCTCAATTACTTGCATTGCCTTCGACTGCGAAGGATCGAGCTCTCCAAGGTCTCGTAGTCCCGACGACCGTGTCATCTTCGTCGGCTGCCGCCGTGCCTTCAGCTACGAGATTGGTAGCGGCAGTGGGCGGGGGACCAACAGCGATCGGCGTGATCTGCGGCGAGTGGCGGGACCAACAACGAGCGGCGTGACTTGTGGCGGCAGGCGGCAGGAGAAGGGGCGGCAGGAGAAGGGGCGGCCTCTTTGTGTTTGTGTGTGGATTGGGATATGCAGAGAGAGAGAGAGGTATAGATACTATGTATTTTTTGATGTAAATGTGTGAGAAAGAAAAAAAAATTATGGTTGGCGTTTTGTGGTGGGACCCACATTATGAGTTGGCATGATTTATAATGACTATAATACCCTTAATGTTTGGTCAAGTATATTCATTTGACCACAATATATATGTTAATTTACTATAGTGACATTACTGATTGACCAATTTGACTTGATTATGACCATTGTTATATTAGATCTAATGCACCAGAATCATTCTTCTTTCTTTCTCATTGATCCTAATTCTATATATATATATATAAATATATATATATATATATATATATATATATATTGATATAGATACAATATTTTGGGGGACAAAAATATCACTTCTCAATGCATCAAATTTTATCCATTGTTACAAATCTTTGAAATTATTGCGTAATCCGTTTTAGCATATTGTGGGAACACGATGTTGCTATGTAATCAAATATAACAATTATATATGCTTTGTATAGGATATTCGCATATTTTATAGTACCTAGTTAGTTAGAGCTGGATTAATTTATATATGAATTAAAGTTTCAATACTTCAATAAAACTCAAAATAAAACTATCTTAGTAAATGTATATTTCTCTTTGTTATGCGAAATTCCACAGAGTGCATGATTTGTCAAACACACACAATGCGTGAGGCTTGGGAAGTCTATTACAACATAATTGATTCTTGAATTAGCTATTAAAACTAGATTTAAATTATACGAGTCTATCGGAACAATTCATTTTCGAAATCAATTATTTGATTTTTCAAATGATGGTGTATTATTATTGCCAGAATATCTCGTTGGACTAAAGCTTTCGGTAAAAATCCGTCTTTGCACTCTCATTTATTGGTAATTCAAAGTTCGGTGCTCCCTTTTGTGCCGTATATGTAAGGGGAGTTCAAATCCGGGAAAATTTCAAAACTAGTCCTACAGGTATAGGGAGGTGACAATTTTGGTCCCGACATAATGCAGAAATTATGAATATTCTCACAACTTTTAAAAAATGATCAATAGTGAGATTTTTTCGCCGGATTTACTATTTCCGGCCCGGAACGCCACGTGGCGCACACGTGGCTTATTTTTTTACATACTGGCATCCGAGGTGTTCATATTTTTTTACAAGTTGTGGGACTAGTTTTGAAGTTTCTGCATTCCATCGGGACCAAAAATATCACCTCTCTATTCATATTTTCTGCATTCCGTCGGGACCAAAATTGTCACCCCCGTATACCTGTGGGACTAATTTTGAATTTTTGCTGTTCAAATCCTATGCTTTTAAAAAGAAAGAGAGAAAAAAAAACATATAATTCCAGGAGAAATGTTATAGGTACATAACAATGTACATAGAAGTGTACATAACACTCACATTGAGTGAAACCCATTAAAAATAAAAAAATTAAGTGGACCCTACTCCATGTGTACATTTATTATGTACTGGTAGTAATTTTCTAATTCCAGATACACCGCGACATATCTAGGAAAATGGAATTAAAAAGCTACAATCTTTCACGTTTTAACAATTTAATTACTAATTTTATTATTTTATTTTTGTGTATACAAATTTTTGCAATTATTAAAATGTCATCACGGCGGTTATATCTTACAGCTGAAATAGATGATATCTTTTTTATGAGGTTTATTTCGTATTTTAGCTAGCAAATCAACGTTGAATCTATGATAATTAACATAGATGTCTACAATAATCAGTTCTTTGTTTTGCATTAAATTAAGAAAAAAAAAATAAAAAAATGAACACGTCATTCAACATCATCTCAATCCCCTCAATATTTTTCAGAACATGGGGATAAATTATGAAGAAGGTAAGATGAAATCATGGGGTTCTTGAGTCGAATTCAATTTTATGGAATTAGGGTATGGTGTCTGATTATTTAAAGCAGCGGACATAACATATAATATGAAAGAACTATATCAAAATATATGATTTAAAGAGATTTGCTAGAGTAATATATACTTAGGTAACGTATGAGTAATTAAAATTTTTCCTGTTTTTTTTTTTTTTACTAGGAGTACATTTGGCCGCGGTTATAAATACTTGGCTAATTAAATACATGCATGTAATCCCAATATTTTCACCTCTTTGTTACATTTTGTCTCCAAATTTTTCCACACACAACATATGGAAAACAAAACAACTCTCATTTTTTTCTCCACTCTACTTATTTTATCATGTTTTAGGTCTCATGGGCTCGGGACAAGGGATTTCCATTTTCTCAAACAGAAGCTGAAAATCAATGCTGGCATTGACAAAAACCTTTTCAATGCAAGCGAGCTTTTCCACTATTTTTCGAAACCGGTAGCTAACTCATCACCATCTGCAAAGGAAAAGGACCTAATTACAAAATTGCCCGGACAGCCGCCGGTTATTAATCCATTCAAGCAATATGGTGGATATGTTACCGTCAATGAAAAGGCCGGTCGAGCTTTTTTTTACTATTTCGTAGAGGCTAACCAATCTTACGCCAACAAGTGGCCTCTTCTTCTTTGGCTTAATGGAGGTAGGTGTGTTCTTTAAGAAATTAAAACTTTTAAGAAAAACTTCTGTTGCTCTACAAGTGTCAGCATCTGATTTATTGCGTCACATTTTGATGAATATATATATATATATATATATATATATATATATATAATTACTTGATTCTAGAAGATTCTGTATTTGGTAGGGCCGGGTTGTTCTTCTCTTGGTTATGGAGCAATGGAGGAAATAGGCCCGTTTCGAGTTCACAATGACACAAAAACACTCTATCGAAACGAATACTCATGGAACCGTGGTACATATATATAATCGTGTTAACTTCTCTACATAATCAACATTTATGTGGTGTGATGTCCTTTTTTCCCCTATCACATTTTTTTTTTTCCTTTTAATGTATGTATATTTTTATTTGCATAGTTGCAAATGTGTTGTTTTTGGAAACTCCGGCGGGCGTTGGGTTCTCATATTCAAAAGACAGAGCGGATTTGGAGGGTGGCAACGACACTAAAGCAGCAGTCGATAATTTTAGATTTTTTATGAATTGGTTAGAGAGATTCCCAGAATATAAAGGCAGAGATCTTTATCTTGCTGGTGAAAGTTATGCAGGACATTATATGCCGCAATTGGCTCACATGATTCTGTATTACAACAAAATGGCAAAAAAGACCATCATAAACCTCAAAGGGATCATGGTAATTAATAAGAAGTTCTTGTTACTTTGCATCATATGTGACATACATTAAATCAATATATGAAACACAAAAATAAAACTTAATTTATTTATCATCTTGGGAATAAATTGATCAATTTTGTTACAGCTAGGGAATGCTGAACTTAACGATGAGACGGACAACAAAGGAATGTACCAATATTTCGGTAGTCATGCTTTGATTTCTGGTGATCTTGCAAATCAAGTGTTGAGATATTGTACCTTTTCTCCCAACGGAAATGAATCACCAAAATGCAATAAAGCCATGGATGAAGCTGATAAAGTTTATGACGAAAAGATTGATATTTATAACCTTTATGCTCCCCTCTGCTCTGATCACAACCCCACAAATAAGCCCAAATTTTATTCAGTAAGTAAAATGGTAACTGTGTAATCTTCATTACCGACGAGTCCCAATTTTTAATTAATCTATGCATATAAAGTTTTAATCATCATATATATTTATTATTAATATCAAACTTCATTGTGCAGGTATCCAATTTTGACCCATGTACTGATCATTATGTGAAAGCATACTTGAATAGGCCTGATGTTCAAAAAGCACTTCATGCCAATGTTACCAATATTCCTTACGAATGGAACTTTTGCAGGTTAATTTTGACTAATTGTCTTCATAATGATGCTGCTAATTGCAAAATAGCCCGGTTGATTAGTTATCATAAAACTGACCAATCTCTTGAAATAGACTATCAAAAGAAGGGTATAATATAAAGGATATAAATCAAATACAGTGAATCTTTTATAAATTATATATCAACTAAATTGTAAAACATTGAATGAGTGGTTCTGTGGTGCAGACATGGGTTTAAGTAGTAACATCACAATTTAAAAAGTAAAATAAAATACTTCCCCACCATTAAACTTATTTAATTACTTTTGAGTTTTATGGTTTTTAGCTATACTTAAAAATTAGAAGTTGACTTTCTAGTACATCAACTACCTTAATTTGCAGGGTAAGCGCCTTGACAATTGGTAGAGATCAATTTGATAAATTTTTTTTTTTTTTTTNTGATAATTTTTTTTTTTTTTTTTCTTTTCTTTTTCCCATTCAATTTGATTTATTTATTTTCATTTATGATTTGACCATAAACAAAATTTCTTCATTGCAAATTAAGTATCAGAATCCCACAATATATGACATGCTCCCATGCAATATCTATGTATATTTCACATTTATATAGTCATCAATTACAAATGAATTGAAAATATTTTATCGTGAATGATGCAGGGATGCACTTATACAAAATTGGACATACAGCACGTACACTGTCATCCCTATCCTGAGGGAATTAATGGCCAATGGGATACGCCTCCTCATATATAGGTAATTAAGCAACGAAAAAATTTGGATGATCCTTTTACTAAATAAATGAATAGAGATCAGTTGAGTATATTTCTAAAGGGGATGGGGTTAAAACTGCACAATGAAAAGAATGATCATAGTAATAACTCTATCTTATCTTGTTGAATGAAGATCCCATGAACTTGGTTCAAAGGAAAAACTAAACTATGAAAATTCGTCTGAGCACTTGGAATATAAAAATGTCTAAAAGCTCTTCTCTAAAGCAATCCAAGTGCAAAATTACTTGTTGATTGTGGTGAGGGTAAGTCATATGGACTTTTAATGAATTTCTAATCTTTTGAAGGTGGAATAATACAAGATACTCTTGATAAGAAGGTCACCTATATAAGTGTGAAGTGAGAGACACTTCAAATGTAAACACTTATGAATCCAAAGTATTGTCCATGACCAAAATAATATAACAAAATGCAATTAAGGCTCTATTATATGAATGTCATTGTCTTAGTGTACATTATGAAAGAATAGTTCATGAAATTGTGTACACTAAGCCGCCAATACATCCAATGATGTTTACTACAAAACGTTTAAAGCCACAAGCTACATTTTATGATGCAATAGACTCTTGTGAGGATTGAGCACAAGAATCTACATACATTTGATTTCCACTCATGTGGGGAATTGTTAGAAAATCAGTTTTCAATATTGGGTTTGACCCTATTTTTGACTAATTTTTTATAGCTAAATATTTGATTATGGTTGAATTAAATAATGTTGAAAAGTTCTACATTCCAGGTCTATGCTCGTAGTATATTTATTTTCTCAAAACTAATCTCAGTGAGTGAGAAATAAAGGTTTAAAGATACCCATTAGTAGGTACGTAAAATATTGGTTGTGGGGGTCGGAGGGTCAATAGTCATATTCCACATTGGACTCTTAAGTGAGAATAACTCTCTTTATCATAATAAATAGAGTTGTAGAGGTCACAATAACAACAAAGCTATGCACCAAGTATTAGTGACGGCTTCGGCAACACGCGCGCGAGCGCACGCACTCCCGTCTGTCAGGAGGCTCAGCTTAGCCCGGTCATAGGCACAGGCACGGGCCTAGACCTTGGTCTTGGGTCTTGGCCTTAGTTTACTGTGGGCTGGACTTGGGCGGTCTTGGATAGCCTGGGCCGGTGTTGGGCTCTGGGCCTCTGGCCTTCGTCCCACCCCTTAATTGCTTTTTATGCAAATTTATTTGCAAAATTGTAGCCAATAAAATCCAAACCGAGTTGAATTTAGCTCGATATTTAAGCTAACCTGTGTGAGAACTCTTCAGATACATTGTATCTGGACATGTTGACTTCACCTAACCATTTTAAGTGGAGTAGTAGTGTGTTAACACCTAAATTCAGTCTGGATCGTTTTGATTCCCTTAAGAGCATTAGTCATTGGGTTGTTGCCAGCCTTAACTAGCAGCCAACTCATGGCTTCCCCTGCCTAATTTGAAACTCTATAAATAAGAGTTCTTAGGTTGCAGCAAACACAAAAGATATACATCTGCATCCCCACACTTTTCTGAAAGGTTCACACATCATACATAGTGCTCATTTCTCGACCTCATTCATGTTCTCCAGATCTTAGAAGTCTGAAATGCTATATCTTATGAGACGTAGGCGTTGTATCTTTAGACGAGATGTCTGAATCCGTGAGCACACTACGGAGCATATTCATCTTGCAGAATGAGTAACTCTTGCATCTGTTGATTCTCTTCACGCATCAACATTTTGTATATTGTTATTTTCTATTTTTAGATCAAGTTGTAAGAACTGAAATGCACTATTCAGTTCATAGATTTCTCGCGTCATTCAGCACTCCTTTTGTAACAATTAGTAAGATTATTTTCACATAGTTGTCGGGCGATTATATTTTTTGATATATATATATATATATATACTTTTAAATTAAAATATCGTGCTCTCAAAAAATATAAATAGTAGATGAAGCGTTGTGGGGGGAATATGTAGAGTACACTAAACGTGTTTAAACACATAAATTAAAACTGGAAGCAACAACTAAACATAATTGAAATAAAAACTGGAAGCAACAACTAAACAAAATTGTCTTCGGTGAGCGTCCCTTACCCCTTAAAGCTCTCTCATTAGTAAATCTGTTATGTACTCAATGTATAGTTTGGACCTATAAGAATATGACTCCCTTCTAATCCTACCAGCACTAAACCCAAAACTAATAAATTTTTCTGGCCACAACTTGGACTTCAAACTTGCTATTTGGTTCCCTCATATCTAATAAAGTACTTAATCTCTAAGTATCCAAAGAGCTTACAGGTAAAGAATACAAACTCTTCAGTGGTGTAAGAATGCAAAACTTAATTGTTGAAAAACTAAAATAAGAAAATGCTAACTAAAGCTATCGAACTCTACGAGACACTGTTGAACAATGTTCGCAACAACCGCATCTCCGAGTCTTCGTGCATGCATTTATACAAACTCCAAGATGATAAGTAGCATTCACATTAAAAGCATTTGATGTCCTTCCATGTGGAGTATATTCACTTCCAAATCGGTTTACCTTCTTCGGGTTTAGATCTCTAGAATCTCTGTCCAATATTTGCGTAGAAACATTGTTTTTCGATTTTGTAGATTCTTCAAATCTTTTCCAAGATCTTAATCTCGGTCTTGATCTTGTCCAAGTTAAATATACTATATCCTGAAACATACTCGGCTTTCTTCTTTCTTTTAAATTCACGATCCATCATTTGCCTATAATAAATAGAAATAGCAATGTATTTATCAACCAAGGTAAGAAAATATAACCAACATCATAATAGCTATTGTTATATATTCCTTATTATAATAAATAGATATATTATCTAGTATATAAAAGGAACTTAAATAAATGCAAGAGAGAGAAAGTGGAAATCTTTCTTTTTAATTTCTTGTTTAACAAGAATATTCAGTAAAATTTGTCCAACAACAACAACAACAACATACCCTGTATATTCCCAACAGGTTGGGGTCTGGGGGTTCAGTTGTATGCAGACCTTACCCTTGTAATTATACAAGGAGGTTGTTTCCGTAGTGACCCAAGGTGCATTGCGCCGTTTGATATTTTTTTTTTTTCTATAAACTTCACTAATAGAAGAAGCACTAGAATTTAATTGAGTTATTTTGATCTAGTCCATTATTAGCACTATGCCAGGAGAATTGTCAATAATGACTCTTTCAGTTCCATTTGCAATGAACAAAAATTTTTTTGTAATTTCTTATATTTAGATATGTAATTGAACTCTAAACGATAGTTGATGTGTGTGCAGTGGGGATATAGATGGACGACTGCCGGTTACTTCAACACAGTTAACAATTAAACAAATGAAGCTTCCTGTTAAAATTTCATGGTACCCGTGGTACCTTCTTGGGGAGGTATGATTTTACAATTTCAAATTTTAAAAACTGTATTATTTATTTATATTTTTATTGTTTAATGGTTTTTCTAGAAGTGCTTCGATTTGCTATATATAGAAGTCCACTAAGAAAACAAATTTTTCATTACATCCGATTTGTTTTATTTTTTTTTATTTTTTTTATTAACACATCCAATTTGTTTTACGCATTAAACATGTGTTTGGTAAAATCTACATACTTTAGAAAAAGCGCTTTGAACATTTAAATAAAATTAGATGAGTTGATACATGAATTGCCATTTTTTTGGTTCCATAACCATCAAATAAAAGGCATGGAAAAGAGCATCTAACAACCATACTAGTTAAAAGTAGGGTAAATAATTTTTTAACCTGTATTATACGTGCTTTTGAGATTTTCAACCTAAAGTATTTTCAACCTAAACTACATATATACAATAATTTGCACGTTCGACTATTTTTTGACCGCCGGATCATCCGCAAAAAAGGACACATGTATGGTCAAGAATTTTCAACCTAAAGTATTTTTTTTTATATTTTGTGAAATGCAACATGAACTACATATATACAATAATTTGCACGTTCGACTATTTTTTGACCGTCCGATCATCCGCAAAAAAGGACACATGTATGGTCAAGATGTGGTCGAGCGTGCAAATAGTGACTGTATATGTAGTTCAGGTTGCATTTTACAACAAAAAATACTTTAAGTTGAAAATCTCAAAAGCACGTATAGTACAGGTTGAAAAAAATTATTTACTCTAAGAGAGTATTTGTTAAATGTAACAATTTTGGGTCTACTAAAATTATTCATCCATCTCTTGTTTCAACTCCTCATTTTTTTCAATATTATATTTTTTGATAAAAATCAATCAGTAATGCATATTTCTTCATAAAATTTACTAATCATCTACTTGTATTATAACTATCATTATTTATTATTTTCTATCACATCACAATTTATTATTACTTGTATATCAAGTAAATTTACATCATACAATTCATCAATTCTTCCGTTAAATCTTATTTCTCCAACCATTTGTTAAAGCCTATATGTCTGCCTTATTGCTCATTTAATTATTATTATTATTATTATTATTATTATTATTATTATTGTGTTAGGTTGGTGGGTACGCAACAGTGTATAAGAACAACTTGACATTTGCCACAGTTAGAGGAGCAGGACACGATGTACCAAGTGATCAAGCTGCTAGAGCCTTTACCCTTGTTCAGAATTTTCTTGCTGGGAAAGATCTCCCTAATAAAATTGATCATCATTAAAATCAAAAACTAAATTCTGACTACAAGTCTATCATTATATAAAAAGAATAACCTTTTTACAAATTTAGAAACTTTTTCCCGCCAAAATCATTAAATATATCCTATATATAGTAATTGTTGGACAAATCTGAATAGGCAAAAAAATCCGTTCATTAATGTGTAAAGATTTGTTTCTCTTTTTCCTATTTCTTAGTTTATCGTTTTAACAATAAATATTTGTTTTTCTTTTTTCTATTTTTAGTATAAATCTACACGAGCTTATCTCTTCTGTTACAAAATCTCATTGCATACGATCTTAGGTGTTTAAAAAATCTCATCTCTTATCTATACAGATTTGAAAAAATAAAATAAAATAGAAATCAATTCATAATTACTACTAGAAATCCATTATCTTTAAAAAGAAAAAATAAAATAAAATAGAAACTAATTCATAATTACTACTAGAAATCCATTATCTACTTTAAGAAGCTAATATTCATCGGTCTAATTACTAATATTTTTACAAATATTCTAAGATAACCATACAAAAAAGTATAATAATAATTTTGAAATGGTGTGTAATCAATTTTTTTTATATTCTGTTATACAAAATCATTTTACATTGTTTGACCCCGAATATTTAATTTATAATTATTAAGTATTATTTATCCTCCTCTTTTATTTATAATTATTTTTTTTCTTCCTCTTTTTAAATACGATCAATAGTAGTTTTCACTTCCGTCATTAACTCAAACTCGAGGTCTATTCATAATATTGTTATTATTGTTCTCGTGCATCGCACGGGGTACACACTGGTTTTATTTGACAAGAGGCTCAAGGTATATTTCAATAAAAGTAAGATAGATTTCCAATATACTATATATAGAAAGACAGCTCGAATATTCACCCGATCGTCATTTCTGAAACAAATAATGAAGTCATGAATAATGAAGTTTGAGAGAAACAAATAATGAAGTCATGAATAATTGGCCGATTTTAATATTTTGAGTTTGTGTACCTTCTCTGATAAGGTCAAGAAAAAGTTTGGGTAGTGAAATTGAGAAGGCTGAATATTTTCACTCGTAATTCATTTTGATTTCTCGCCGTTCATCGCCAATTATTCAAAATTCCGATGAAATTGCTTAACACATTCACTGATTTTTCTATATTAGCACAACCAATCGGTTTCAACACAAAACATTTGACCTTTATGTAAGCAAATGACCAAGAAACCTAACACCTAGAATTTGATCAAACATGATTATAAATTCAACAGTGCCACGGTTTTATGGCCACTTTTTGAAGTAAAAAATGAAAAGTAGCCAGTATAAAAAAACAATGTTATCCTTATTAAATATTAAAAAAAAAAAAAAAANATTAAAAAAAAAAAAAAAAAAGATTCTCACTCCTCCATCGGTTCCCCATTCCTTCAGACCAAGTCCAACCGATACTCAAACTCATACCCAAACGCATAAAAGTGCTCCAACCGATACCAAAACAGAGACACAAATTGCGTTTGTGCTCAATTTCTCTCTCTTCTGGATGCATATTTGCGTATTACTGTTCACAAACGCATTTATTTTTAAAAATTGTAAAGTAACCCCTTAACAAAATAGCATATAGCTTATATATTTTGATTTTGTATATAATTTCGAACTTAATGATTTATTAACATAAAATTAAATTAAAGAACATAAGAAATCCTGTTACTAGTAAACTACTTTGTTTAAATTTTTTAACTCACAGATAATAATACCAGTAAGGAAGTAAACGTAAATTAAAAATATAATAATATCTTAGTATACAATAGCCTACACTAATGAAATAATAGTATATGATTCTTTTACAGATATAATATAATAAAAATAAACATGAAATTAATAATATAATATCAGTAAATATAAAATTAAAAATATAATATACATGAAATTAAAAATATAATAATATCTAAGTAAACATTATTAGCCTATACTAATGAAATAAAAAAGATATAAATTTTACACATAGAGAATAATACCAATAAACATGTTGAAGTGAATATGATTTCACTCGGGCTCCTTCGATTCGGTCGGCCTCCGTACCTGCAAGAACCCAACGTCGGGAGGGGTCCCGGCGTCGGGCCTCCGACGCTCAAGTCAGAATCGCTCCAAATCTCAAGTGCAGTAATGAATGTAGAGAGAGAGTGAGAAAATATGATACCTTAGCCCCTTTTATAGGGGGAATGTACCTTATGACCCAAGTTGGGCTTGTCCAATAGCATCACGCCACGTGTCCTAGCCATGTGTAGGCTTATTCTTCAATATATCCCTTTTTTATCCATTAAGGCTGGTCTAGTATATGATATCTTATATCACATGTAATTAAAAATATAATAATATCTAAGTAAGCCTTATTAGCCTACATTATTAGTAATCAGGTGCTGAAATGAAATACAACATCACACAATCACGATAATAAAATTTTTAATTTTATCTTGTGTGTTGTAATTTTTAAATTTTAATTTTTAATGAGCATTTATTTCTTTGATTTTATTATGTATATGATTATAACTTTATAATTAATTTTATTACATAAAGTCTAAATTGAGTTTAAGATAGTAGTGTGGTTTAATTTGTAAAGTTGTAAAATATGTGGGTAGTATTAAAAAATTATAAAAGTTGATGTAAAAGATAATATTCCGAGAATATTCTTTTGGGTTGATAATGAGTTTTTCGGTTGGAATTGAATTACTGCAAAATGGGACAGTTACTGCAAAATGAGTTTGAGTATGAGTTTTTCGGTTGGAGATGACCTCAGGCTTCATCTCCATTGTTCCCATTCCACCTCCATCTCCACGCGCCAGTGCAATT